ATCTTTCTCCTGCACGCCTATCACAGACAATAACATACAGACACCGGGCCCTGCTGAATAAATTTACCGGTAGCGGTAGCACACACACAGCCAGCAGCACGGAGCGGCTCCCACTTCCTCCCAGCTGCTCAGACCAATAGTTTCCCCAGCAGCTGCCTTCTCTCGAAGCTCACTGCTGGGTCTTTGTATCTCACTGATTTCTCCTTCTCTTGGGATGCCTCACCTGGTCCTGTCCCATCTTCCCTAATAATAACAACAACAACCAAACTCAGGGCCACCGAGTCAATCTTGACTCATGTTGACCCTAAAGGACAGGGTAGAACTGCCCCTTTATGAAATTAAAAAGCCTTATCTTTCTCCTGAGAGGCAGCTAGTGGTTTTGAACTGCTAATCTCTTGGTTGGTAGTCCAACTTGTAACCGCTATGCCATTGGGGTTCAAATAATAATACTAATTAATAATCATAATAAGCAGTTTCAGATGAGTAAAGGATCTTAGCATCCCAGACCTCCAGTTTCACAAGAGGGCGCATTAAAGTGAGCACAATCACAGCAGGTATTTTATGACTTCACTGCTTTACATAATACATATGTGCATTGATCAATGTGCACTTAGATTCATTCACCCTTGAGTCCATCGCAGAAGGGGCCCTAGGGAGAAGGCTTCCTGGAGGACTGCTGGAGGGGGAGCAGAGCTGCAGGGACCATGAGAGAGGGAAGTAGGGCCGGCTGGCAAAGGCCAGCTGGGTCGATGAGGTCCAGTGAGAGGCCAGTGACCAGAAAGCAGTCCATTTGGGCTGGAGCTGAGGGTGGTTTCTGGGTGAGGAGGGATGGAAAGGTGGAGCTGGGGCTCTGATCTCATATCTCGCTCAAGCCGGGGCCTGCTTCTGAGCGGGGTGGTGACAGCTCCAGGGCTGGTTAGAATGATCTGGAACTCCAGGGTTCTGCCCTGCTCAGATTCCATCAGGGTGGGGAAGCCTCCGTTTGACCCCATCCTTTTGTCTGTTCAGACTCAGAACACATCCTTCTGCCCCCACCGATTTTCTCAATTATTTCTATTTCCCTGAGGTCTGGTGGGGGTGGGGAACATCTGTTTCCACTGTGTTTTGGGCTTGCGACTGGAAGTTTCCGAGAGTCAGCTTGCTGTGAAGATGCATGCAAGGGACTCACTGTGGTCAATAATGAAGCTGAGTTGCCACTTTTCCACTCCCTCTGCTACCTATAAGCTCCTCCTGAGTGCCAGGGGGACATTTCCCTGCAGGATGGAGCTCACTGGCCCTTTTGGCTGCCTACCCAAAAACCAAACCCAAGCCCACTGGCATCGAGTGTGTGTGACTCCTGGCATCCCTAGAGGACAGAGCTGAAGGCCCCTGCAGGTTTCTGAGGGTGTGACCCTCTGTAGGGAGCAGAAAGCTGCACCTTTCCCTCTCTGCACTTGCAATCTCTGATTCCAGGGGGGAGGGTGAACAAGAGATGGTTTGGGCTCTGATGCTGGAGGCTCTTCTATGCCACGTTCTACAAAAGAACCCCACGAAGGATAAATTCACATAATGATTATTTTTTGGCAGGTACCGTTGTCAAAGCATTCTACACATATTACATTACTCCCTCCCCCGGGCCACCCTGTGAGGGAGGGGCTCTTTTGATTGCCCCTACTTTAAAGATGAGGGAACGGAGACACAGTGCGGGCCTGTAAGTTGCCCAAGGTCTCAAGGCAGGAAGGGACGGGGCCTAGCTTGGCACCCGGGCAACCTGGCTCCAGAATTTGCACCCTCATTTCTTTGCCATATCATCATCTGGCTATGTGCTGCTTTCTGTCTTTGAGACAATTTATCAGCTATGACAGGTCTCCAAGCCCCAAAGTAACTCCAGTTTTTTTTAAAAAGCCAGCCAAGTCAAAGGTGTTTGAAAGCTTAAGCCATGCTCTTGTGTCTACCCCTTCAAGAAAGCCAATAAATGACTCAGGCCAAAGGTTTCCCCACTAAAGATGAAGCGAGTGATGCTAGCATAAGCTTTGAGGCATGGGTGGGTCTCATCTTCATTATCCACCAGTTTATAGATGTGCACAGTGATGCTTTCTGGGAGGCAACTGTGGTTTAGGGAAATGAGGGGCAGGAACGCCCGACGGCACAAACCCAAGCTGTACCACCAAGGAAGTGGGGGGCATCTTGCCATAGTTCCTGTGTCTCTCGGAGCTCCAGTTTCTTCTCATGCAAGATGTCCTCAAACTGTGTGGCCAAACCTTCACAGGTGCGTTCACAAAACGGCACCAGGTTGGCTTTTGTTGAATCTGAGACTGTTGTGAACCCAAGGCTAGTCTGTGTCGGAAATCTGAGGCCAGGGCCCCCTCTCTACCCACTGAGACTTTGGACGCCCTCCCAAGCCCTGACTCCTGAGGAGGTTGACAGAGAAGGAGATGAGGTGCAGGGCTGGCTACATCGATTTATTGGAAACACAGATCAAGATAGAGACAAACATGCACAGGAGGGAGGGAGAGACCGGTAGGGCCCTGGCCTGAGCCTGCCTGCCCTTGTACCCCTTCTCAGGGGCATCAGTCCAGAGGCAGAGCCCAGGAGGGGGTCAGAACCAGAAACCAGATGCAGGGTGTATCAAAGTGCAACTTAAGCAACTGAGTGGCAGGCAGGGTTGGGTGGGCCCAGCCTGGCCCAGGGAGGGGCGCCCTGGGGGAGAGATGCTTCTGGCCCAGGAATTGTGTTGGAGCAGCTAACACTTCTGGCAGCTGCTGGCGCAGATGGAATTGCAGGGCCCGCAGGGGGCGCACGCGCCCGTGCTCACCGCCAGGTTCCCGCTGCAGGGGGCGCTGCAGGCGCTGCCCGTCACCGGCCGGGAGCCCGACACGCACAGGTCGCCGCACACCACGCCGCCCCGAGAGCTGCTCACACCTGGGGGACAGGAGCGAGCGAGGTCAGACGCCTGGTCCAGGGAAGGACTCAGGCCTTCGGTCCAGTCCTGG